AGGAAGTGATGTAGAGCATTTGCTGTTTATTCATAATTGGGGACACAGTAAACATATTATATCCTTAATTATTTACAAACACTCAGCGATCACTGATCGCCAAGTGTTTGTATACGGCTCTCCATTCTGACTCTTTCAGCTGTCACAGGAGGCTGAGCCAGCTTTGCGGGGAGGAGAGCTCAGTCTCATTTGACAGCTGATTCCTCCACAGCACCGCTGGTTCTGCCTCCTGTGGCAGCTCACATCTGTCTCAGTCCCCACACTGCTCTCCATCCTGATCTGTCCCAGGATGTTGATCGGGGCGGTGCGGGAGGAGAGCTCGGCCTCCTGTGACATCGCTGCTCACAGCACAGCTGCTCCGCCCCCACACCACTCTCCATCTTGATCTGTCACAGGAGGCTGAGGAGAGCTCGGCCTCCTGTAGAAGCGCAGCTCACAGTGCTCTCTCCCTGCCACGCTCAGCCTCCTGAAGGCTTCTCTCCACCCCGCTGGACGCTGCTCTGTGTCAGAGGGTACATACAGCAGCACACATCGGGGAGGAGAAAAACTAGAGATGTACCGCAATTTCAGCTAGAAGATGGTACTTTCGGCATTTTGCCCATAGTACCATTTTCGGCCGAAATTTTGGTGCATCCCTAATGGAAAGAGCTGAAACATGTCTGGAGATGACAACCTTCAAAGCTGAGACAGCTAAAGCAGTTTGTCCAAGAAGAGTGAGCCAAACTACCCATTGGCAGGAGCAGAAAACTTGTCGAGAGCTATAAAAATTACTTGTTTGCAGTGATTGTCTTTAAAGGCTCTGCAGATAAATATTAGGCTAAGGGACCCATCAGTTTTGTCCACGCATTTCCATTTCTTTTTATTATTTAAAATATTCTGTTGAACTTAAAATCAAAAGCAAAGTCTGTATATTGTTTTAATCAAATATAGAATAAACAACAATGGATGCCAAATACTTTGGTCAGTTTCAAGTTATTTCAGAGATGTGTATTTCACCTCTGTACCTAAAAGTTAGCCTGCAGTATAACTTTACTTCACACCAGCGGGCATGCATTCTGCTCTTCAAGAATATCACCAGCACACCAAGGGTAAAGTGAAATCAGTCCATTTAATGACTAGACATTGTCATTCAAGTTCAAGTGCTTGCATTCTGAGCCTGACGAAGGGGACCCTGCGCGGCCCCGAAAGCACTTGAATGACAATGTCTTGTCATTAAATGGACTGATTTCACTTTACCCTTGGTGTGCTGGTGATATTCTTGAACCTTATGTATGTTTTACGGTGCCATCCGTAGTCATTGCAAGCACCCACCAGGAATCTACAGGTTATACTGAGGGCTTGTTCACACCGAATGCGGTGCGTTCCAGAGTAGTAGCTGTTGGAACGCACCGCGATCCCTTACAAAACTTCCCCCTGCGTTCTAGGGAGGGAGGGGGCGCGGCGGTGCATTGAATTCGATGGCACTACTCCCACGCCCCCCCCTCCCCCCGCAGTGCGATCGGACGTGTGGCAAAACTTTGCCTGCGTTCCGTTCCACTGCAAAAAATACAGCATTTTTTGCGTTTGCAGAGGAACGAAACGCAGGTAAACTTTTGTCACGCGTCCGATCAAACTGCGGGCGGGGGACGTGGAAGCGGTGCCATTGACTTCAATGCACTGCCACGCCCCGTTCCAGAACGCAGGGGGAAGTTTTGTGAGGGATCGTGGTGAGTTCCAGTAGCTACCGCTCAGGAACGCACCGCATTTGGTATGAACAAGCCCTGAACCGGTAAGGAGTGCAGCAAGACGCAATTGTATTCTGCTCTGTATAAGGTGCACCTGCTGCGGGCGGTACGATGCACTGTTACAACGCATTGCACTGCTTACTTTTTTTACGTTATTTACCTGCCACAAAATGCCATTTCATTGCACTCTATTCACCATAGTATACTGCAATGTAGTGTAGTGCTTCACAACGCCCTGCGTACAAATGCAGCTGCCCAATGTTTTCAAGGACAAAATGCAAATCGCCTTATCTATACATTAGGCAAGGCTGGTGTGAATGAGCCCCAACATGTGTACTGTCTGAATAGAAGAGCCGGCAGGGGAGATTGCTCCATCCATGCTGCTGAGCCCGAGTAAGGGATTCCAGTGATTTTTTTCTCATTAAGCCCGAGGGCCTGAATAAGAGAAATCACTTGATTCCCATACCTACGCTCAACAGCATGGATGGAGCAATCTTCCCTGCCGGCTATTGCCTCCAGAGCTGTCTGAATACATTTGATTGGATGCAGTCACTGTTCAACTGATCATTTTCCACCCAGCTCCTTTGATTTTTGTTTCTGGAGCCGGCTGGTGGTGCCCACAGGGCCACTTAAGCCTCAAATTCAAGCCCTGTATGGCAGCCTAAAAGCTGAACTCCAAACACAAAAACTCTCATTGAAATACATTCCTCAATAGTCACAAAGAATATATATTGTGTACACTAAATGCCTTTGCAAACCCAGATCTTACTCTGTAAAAGTAGGTATAGCATAATCACTGCGCTGAACATGGCCTGTGCAGACAACCGAGCTGTGAGAGGGACCCAGCAGGCCCCACCCATTACAGGCTGAAATCTGCAGGAGGGGCGGATACAAGACCAGTCATCTCGCACAAGGAGAGAGAGGAGCAGCAGCTGGTCTTTATTAAAAGGAAGATCCTGAACAGAGGCAATGTTTTACACTGAAGTACTGCACAAAATACACCAAGACAAGCTGCACCCAGGGACCTAGCAGGCCCCACCCATTTCAGGCTGAATTCTACAGGAGGGGATGGATACAAGACCAGTCATCCTGCACAAGGGGAGAGAGGAGCAGAAACTGGTCTTTATTAAAAGGAAGATCCTGAACAGAGGTAATGTTTTACACTGGAGCACTGCACAAAATAAACAAAGCTCACCAAGACAAGCTGCACTGGATGCAACTGCAGGTCACCGCTAGAGAGGAGCCTGAGATTTGTGGAGCCCAGATCGTCCCAGCCCACTCAAAACTGTGACTGCCAATCAGTGGGAGAAGGAGCGGCGGGGGCTTTTCTCACCCCTCTGTGACATTTAGCTGCAAGGCAGGGAATGCACCCCTCCGCAACTGTATTGGAGGGGCAGTCACAGCTGAGCCCAAGCGCCGCTGTGCAGAGACCTGAATGTACACTCCAAATAAAGTTTAAAAAAAAGGAAACGGTATGATGCTCTGAACATAACACAGACCCTGACACCACCCCTGCCAGACCTCACTCAGCATACTGGTCTACAGGATCAAGTCAGCGTTTCCGTGAACAAGCCCTGAGACAATATTTGCATATCCTGGAGTTCAGCTTATCAGGAGGATTCCGGGCAGAGAGAACACTAACGCCTGCAGTGGGGCTACCCTTGCACTGCAAGGGTTGAGTGCTCATTTGGGTCTAGGGCAGGGGTGGACAACTCCAGCTGTGCTTTAACTACAAATCCCATTATGCCTCTTGCTGTCATTCTTGCAATGCCTCATGGGACTTGTAGTTACACAACTGGCGGAAGGCTAAAGTTGCCCACCTGTGGTCTAGGGTGTAAAAATATATATATATATACACATATACACTCACCCCAAATGCAGACCCTCCTGGGTGCTAGACCGGTCCGTGCAGCCTCTCTTCTCCTCCGGAATGTCCCTCAGTGTCCTCATGCCCTATACACTGGACTGGATGTGATGACTCACAGGACCTTGGATCCCTGGAGAGGAGAGAGGCTGCCAGGACTGGTCTAGCCTTTTTATTTTATTTTAGACCCTAGACCAGGGGTAGCCAAACTCCGGCCCTCCAGCTGTGGTGGAACTACAAATCCCATGGAGGCGTTGCCAGATTCTCAAGCCACAGACATGACTCCCGGAGAGAGATGCATCATGGCATTTGTAGTTCCACCACAGCTGGAGGGCCGGAATTTGGCTACCCCTGCCCTAGACCAAAACAAACACTTAACCCTTGCAATGCGGGGCTAGCCTCACTGCAAGGGTTAAGAATAATTCTGTCCGGAGTTCTTCTTTAAACGTCATCCCAGTAGGGCTTACATCTACGTTAAATAAACAAGGGCTGCAGCTAAGGATTATTTGCATAATCGATTAGTTGCCCGATTATTTTTTCCATTAATCGATTAGTTGCATTACAAAAAAAATTATCTCCCCCCCCCCCAACTAATCGATAATGAGAATAGTTGACAATGATTCTCATTATCGATTAGTTGTTGCAGCCCTGAAATAAACCCCCCCTTCAGACAAGGAACCACAATGGACGTCTATGTGAACACGCCAACTGTCAACAGCCTCTTCGTTCCAAGCCTTCCAAAGTGCAGTAACCCACGGCAACCAGAGATCACCAACCACGGCTTAATGCCCTTTCCCCATTCCTCCCCATTGTAATAAAACAAAGCCGCCATGCTATAAATCCGCTCCTCGCCCAATTACAATGTATAAAAAATAGGAAAAGTTTAGGATTTGTCTGTAGATGACCGCCAGAGACTTAGCACAGCGCCGGTGGTGCTCCTGAGCCGACCCGAGGAGGATAAACAGGCAATTAATTGTGTTGTATGCCTCCCAGGAGTCTCATCTATTAAAGTGCACCAATTCAGACGCTTGTATTAATGCTGTGCCATAGATCAGCACATAACAAGGGAACTCCATACCAATGCATGCTCAGAGAGGCAGAACTTCTCTGTATATGTGTGCCCACAAATTTGCCCCTTTTCTCATTTTAGGGGGGGGCACATGAATGAAATAGAAGTGCTGCCAGCTGCACAGCATTGCTAATGGCTGACTCCATGCACAGTGCTGCCCAATACCAGGCTTAGGTGCCCTAACACACAGCCCCTGCCTGTCCTAAATGAACCTGGGTGCACTGCAATAACATCCTCACATGATGCCATTCAACTCCAGCTGCCTTCACTCTTCAGGACACAGACACCAGCACGTCTGCAGCCCGTCAGCAGCACAGTATGGAGTGCGAGTACATTGCATTACCTGGGCTGGAGCTGGCATGGTCAGGGACGAACACCGCCACTGCTGTTGCTGCCGCTGCTGTCTCCTCACACGTTAGGTATAGGAGCTGTGGGGAAGCTCTCGGCAGGAGACGGCTGTGAAGTCTCGCGAGATGGCGCCGCTCAGCCGGCTTCTCGCGCGATTTGCCGCCAGTGTTACATTCCCGGCATAGTTAGAATGTGACAGCCTGGGGCGCTCTCTGCCAGCTTTTCCAGCGCTCGCAACTTGGCCAGCTGCTGCTGCTGCACTTTGTAATCTGTGGAAGTGCTTACAGTGTTCTGTCAGCTGCTTGGCTCAGACCGATCGTTAGAACGCTGGCAACGGCCAAAGGGCAGTGTCATTACCGAAAACGCAGCGTCAGCTCTGCTTTACCAGCAAGAAAGTGTTCAGCGTTCTGTAACCGTTTCCAGGGGTGCTGGCTTGGCACCATGGTAGCCACTGTCACCAGGGCTGGTGTTGCATATTAACCACTTGCTGACCGGGGTGTTAAACCCCCTTCCTGTCCAGGCCATTTTTCAGTATTCAGCGCTGCGGTACTTTTTTTCATTTATTCCGTAGTGCAACGCTGTACAGAAATGAATTTTATACCATTTTTGGGGGACAGATAGAGCTTTCTTTTGGTGGCATTTAATCACCACTGGGGTTTTTATTTTTTACTATATAACAAAAAAAGTTTGGTAAATTTTCAAAACAAAACTGTTTTCCCTACATTATGTTAGGAAACATTTATTATTACTAGGGATGCACCGATCTATCGGTCGCCAAAACATATCAAGCCGAAAATGGCACTTTTGGCAAAATGCTGAAAGTGCCATTTTCTTACCGATATAGCGGTGCATCCGTGCTCTCTCTCCTCCCTGCTGGGCGCTGCTCTGTGTCTCAGCGGGGAGGAAAGAAACTGTCACAGGTGGTCGAGCGCTGTTAGCGGCTAGCGTCTCTCCTCCCCGCACCGCTCAGCCTCCTGTCACAGATCGGGAGAGTGGTGTGGGCGGAGACAGCCATCACTGTCATAGAAGGCTGAGCTCCGCTCGCTCAGCCTCCTGTGACGGCTGTCAGGATGGAGAAAGATACAAACACTCAGAGATCAGTGATCGCTGAGTGTTTGTACATAATTGAGGACAGAATATGTTTACTATATCCTCAATTATGAATGAATTGGAAGTGATCTACATCCTCTCCTGTTCATTCATGATTGTGGTTATAGTAAACACACTCTGTCCTCATGTTATCAATGAACAGGAAACTCAGTATAGAGGATTCTTGTTCATTGATAACGGGATACAGAAAAAGAGATTGAGGACTCTGTGTCTTCAATCTCTTTTTCTATTCTAAAGGTGCCCATACACCTTACAATTTATCTGCAGATTTTCTGTGGTCAGATGGAAAACGTGCAACAGATTTGCCCAGGTGGAGATTACTCCATCCACACAGTTAAGTGTAGATGGAGGAATCTGTTGCTACTTTTCCATCTGACCACAGAAAATCTGCAGATAAATTGTAAGGTGTATGGCCAGCTTAAAAAGGAAATATCAGGGATCTGTTTAGATCCCTAATATTTCCCTGAAGCCCCTAAAAGTAAAGTAAAAAATATTTAATAAATAAAAATTATCATCAATAAACATAAAATATTTGAAAAAGTTCAAATAAAAAACATTTTCGGTTTTGGCCTGACATTTTTTTTTATTTCGGTTTTGAAATTTTCATTTCAATGCACCTCTAATTATTACCCAGTTTTTTGGTAAAATATAAAAGACGGGGTCACGTCGGGTAAATAGACACCAAACATGTCAAGCTTTAAAATTGCGCGCACCCGCGAAATCTCAAAAAATACCATGCCTAAAATTGGCCATAGGCGACGCTTTAAAAGCTTTTACTGCTTATCAGTTTGGTGTTATCAGTGATTGATGGCTCTAGAAATATTGCTCGTACTCTGATGTTTGCAGCGATATGTAACATGTGTGGCCTAATCCTTTTCGCATGTAGGCACATCCGACACATTTTTACGTTTATAAGTGCATACACGCGGGGGACTTTTTTTTGAGGGGGGTGTTATTTTTTTAATTTGAGACTTTAATTTATTTATTTTTTTACACTTTACTTTATTGCTATCATATAGGGGGGCTAACAAGCCAATATTCAATGACAGGTCCTCTTTATGGAGGCATCAGGGGTCTCTAAGACCCCTAATGTCACCTTGGGACCAACAAAAAAGCTGATGAAGCACAGATCTGCCAGGGATGCTACATGGAAGCCAAAATACCGCCTTCCAGCTGTGGTGAAACTGCAATTCCCATCATGCATCTGCTTCTGGAAGTCATGCCTGTGGCTGTCAGTCTTGCACTGCCTCACGGGATTTGTAGTTTCAGTGCAGCTGGAGGGCCGAAGTTTGGCTACCCCTGCTCTATAGTATTCCCCTTCGCACCTCTCCCCGGCTTCTACATGAAAACGTATATAGGGAGGGATGAGGTGGGATGGAGTAGCTGGGCCAACAAAGACAATAGTTAGACTCTATAGCAAAGGGAAGGTTACACTTTATAGTGAGGGAAGTTTGCCTGCCCTTGCTACAGAGTGTCATTTTAGTCTGCTAACATCACATCCAAGATGGCAGCGCTCAGCAGAAGTCTCTGGGATTTTGGATGTCTACACAAGGGCTTTTACAGGTAAATAATGCACATAAAATCCTTTAAATGCACATATAATCTTATGGGAAGATTGCTGTTGAAAGTTATGGTCGGGTGTAGGAATGCACCGATACCGATACAAGTATCAGTATTGGTGCCGATACCAAGTATTTGGGTTCACCCAAATGCCCCGATACCGGAACTTCCCAACATGGAGACGGCTTTCCAGGCAATCAGGAAACCGGGTGGCGAGTAATGACCCACCTCCCGACTTCCTGATTGGCCGGGAAGCCGGCTCCATGCTGATTGGCTGGGAAGGCGGTTTCCGGCCAATCCGCTCCGAGCCGGCCGAACAGCCAGCTTCTTGCTGATTGGCTGGGAAGCTGAATAGCCGACTCCATGCTGATTGGCTGGAAAGCCCAACAGCTTGCTCCTTGCTGATTGGCTTCCCAGCCAATCACAATCGAGCATACCAAACAGCATGGAGCCAGCAATCTGGAAGCCGGGCAGCATGTCATTATTCGCCGCCCAGCTTCCAGATTGCCCAGGAAGCCGGCTCCATGGCAGCGGAAACACCTGTATCGGTACTTAGTGCTGAAAGCAAAATATCGGTACTCGCATTCAATACCGAAAAAACGGTATTGTGTATCACTAGTCTGGTAAAAGGGTCTCTTTAAAGGCTACTGTTGCTAAGAATAAAAAAGCAGCTGGCAAAAATACATTAAAGCCCAACAGAACCCTTGCTATGTATTACTGGAATGCAGTCAGGCTGTATGGTAATACATATGAGGTTGTTTTACTAGTTTGTAACAGCGAAGTGTTCTCACTCCCAGAGAATGTGCCGAGGGGTCAGATCACTGGAGACCCGCGTCGCTCCTTTGTGTGAGAGAGCCGCTGTCTGACTCTCCTATGTCCTGCCAGCACTGGGTATTTTATCCCTTGCTGCAGCACTTGGCAGTTTAAAAAAGTAAGAATTATGCTATTTATTACTGTATATGCAGCCTGATTACATTACAAAAACAGTGAGAGTTCAGTTGGGTTGCAAGGGCCAAGCAAAAGGCTTTCATTTGCGTCAGAGCTATTTCTCGCCCCATAAAAGTCTATGGGAATGCAAAAACAGCTTGAAGCAGGTCAATTGCAAGTCAGAATGAGGACAGAGGCACCTGCAGTGAATTCTAAATGGGCTCAAACTGATGTCAAAAGCAAGCTGCATTTGCACCCGGAAGTCTGCTGACACTGGCCCTATAATAAAACTCAATTTTGTAACAATGCCCTGCCCTGGCTTCTCCCCTCGCCTGCCAACCTGAGCCCCATTTTTTTTACATTGTCTTCATACATACCTTTTATTGCTGCAGTCTTCTAGATAGTCACATAAAGCTCTCAGGTCTTCTTATTCTTCTCCCTACAGAGGTGGGCACGGTACTGCAGTGAATGCCAGAGCCCTTCTCTGCAGTATGAGACCAGTCCATCTAGGGGGTGTGTCCATGACAGGCTAGACCAGGGGTAGGCAACCTTGGCACCCCAGCTGTGGTGAGACTACAAATCCCAGCATGGTTCTGCCTCTGGGAGTCATGTCTGTGGCTGTCAGACTCTTGCAATGCCTCACGGAACTTGTAGTTGCACAACAGCTGGAGTGCTGAGGTTGCCTACCCCTGCTCTAGACCCACAGCTGGGGTAGGCAACCTCAGCCCTCCAGCTGTGGCGATACTACAAATCCCATGAGGCATTGCATGACTCTAGACAACAATGGGAAGGACTTCTAGAAGCAGAGGCATCATGGGATTTGTAGATTTACCACAGCTGGTATGCCACGTTTAACTACCACTGTCATAGATGTTGCATTTGCCCCCTACCATTCTATATTTACTTTGGGCCCTGCGTTATGTTTAGATGGTCCTGCCTGCTTGCTTAGATCCTGTCCCTGTTATCCTGTTTTAAGGTGGCTCCTTTCCCTTGCAGGGTCCTATGGAGTCACCCTGGTCTGTGCTAGTAAGCTGTATGTCTCCACAAACACACAGAGACAGCAAGGTAAGTCTTCCTCCTGCTCCACTTTCCTCCTCCCTTCTCCAGGCTGGCACATAGATGTCTGGTGGAGTCCTTTGTGATCTTGTACTGGACAGGAAGTTCTGGGAAGCGAAGCTAAGAGAGTTGGAGCTGTTGGGAAACATGATGACTGTAAGAGCTTGGGCAAAAATGTAAAGCAATGTTTCGCTGTGCCATGAATAATTGTTTGATCTGGATTCGTCTAATACTACTTTAAGGCCCGGTTCACACCTGGGTGTTTTGTAGCGCGTTCCTGCACTCTGCAAAATGCTCAAACACCGAAATCCCATTATTTCCTATGGGTATGGTTCACACCTGGGTGTATTACAGGCCGTATGAACGCGCTACAAAACGCCCTACGCCCAAAGAAGTACAGGAGCTTCTTTGGGGTGTATTTGCCGCACGTATCCATTGGGATACAGCCAGGTAGCCCTCGGAAACGCGCGTTTGTCAAAACGCGTGACACGAAACACGAGACAAACGCGCATATTCGAAACGCCT